AATATATGAAAGTACTGAAATAAAAATATATGGCAGCTGATACAATATGATGGGAGGCTGCATCTTCTCTCCTTAGAGCGTCTCTTCATGCTGACTATAAACACGTTTATATGATGGAGGACCATACACAACCACATTTAGCACACATAAAGAAAAACATAAAACTGTGACTATACGACTAGAGGACACATGTTGTCTCGAGAAATTCACCCTCATACCCCTCTCTCCCACACACACACAAATATATATCCTTCTCCCAATAATCCCACCTCCCCTGAGCGTCTCCAAACAGGTGACATCCGGTGTTGTTTCTGGTTTGAAATAATCTCATACAACAGATGGGTCTTTTTCCCCGAGCCTGCCAGCCAGCCCCGCACAGCACCGCGGGCACTCGTGGCAGCGAAAATATGAAAGCTACCCACGCCAGGAGAGTGGTCCAATTCTCATCTCAGTGCCCACCATCATTACTGCCACCGCCGCACACGCCACTCCACCGGCAACTAGATTTCTTTCCGGAAATACCAGTAGGTGTTTGTTTTCACTTCCTGCGCCCCTTGTTCCAGGCTGAGGTGTTAATGCATGTGTGTTTGTTTTGCTCCCTGTGGAGTGGTCAGTGTGTGAAGCAGAGCTGATGGTACGATGCGTGGTGCGGCAGCGACAGGTAGGCAGCACAGAGTAGAAAAAAGCAAGAGAGTGACATAAAGCAAAGATTCAGTCGGTAATGTATGAAAGCAGGTACCTGCGTCTGGAGTGCTGCTTAATTCATCTGTCCCTTCGGGTTTATCCAATCAGCTGAGCTCCAATCTGTCTTCACTGATGCCATTAGGAAGGAGATAATAAGGACACACAGAGATACATATTCATCAGAGGAGATGACAGGATGTTAAAGGAATAGTTACAGAGTTCAGAGTTACATGTCTCTTATCCAGAGTTATATGAGAAGATTGATACCACTCCCATGCCATTAAATATGAAGCTGGGGTTAGGGGGCATATGACTCAGCTTGGCACAGGGGTGGTGAACCTCCAGCCTCAGGGCCGTCTTCAGCCCACGAGACGATTCATAAATACAAAAAGAGCAGCTTAGAAAACCAAAATAAAATTGAAGACTCAGCTCAGCACAAAGACTGGAAACAGAGGGGAAGCAAAGAGCCTGGTTCTGTCCAAAGGAAACGGAAATCTGAACTTCGTCCCACTGTTCAAAAATGAAGTTAAATATCCATGATGTGGGTTTTGCCATCACGTGAAACCACACTCTGCACAATAGTGATTTGTGGAGCCATGGTATCAAGGTCCTGCCAATAAATATACTTGACCAATCACAAGTCAGTATTAGCCGTCAATCTTTTCGTTTCACCTCATTTCATAGTATTAAATATCCAACTTGAAACCAAGCTTACTGAAAAAAATCTGACAGAAACCGTCTATGAGAAATATTTGTATTTGAAGTGAACTTCGTTTTTTAGTTCATATCCCATCTGCTAACATAGAGGAGGCAGGTTCATCGTAACCAGTCAGAAGAGGGAAATCAAGATGGTTTGGCTACACTTTTCATCCATCTTTATATACAGCCTATGATATAAAGTATTGGATAAATTACAATAACAATGTTCGACATTTCATGCAAAATGAATGCAGACACAAATAGAACCCAATTTGAAGTCAGATCCTGGCACTCATCTGAGCAAACAGGTCATCAACTGTTCAGGTAGTGCTTGTCATCCAGACAACACATCTTCAGCTCGGTGTTAGTATAATATTGTGACTTTCTATATTTCATTTCAGTAAAAACATTACACATAGTCCTTTGTCTTCTTCTTCAGTTGTACTGTATTTCTCTTTAATTTGCAATAACACTTACCCTTTGTTTACACCGAGATCCCTTGGCAAAAGGCCTGAAGCCTGCAGGAAGTGACAATTTAAGCCCAGCCCACAGGAAGTGGAGGAGGCCAAAGCATGATTAAAGAGGGGGGTATTAGATTTAGAATGGGTTGAAACTTTTTATGTTTGACTTTATTGTCATTTGTTTCAATTCATATTTGTTTGTGTATGTATGTATTTTGGGGTTTGTTAGTTATGTTGGAACTGTACGTGTTTTATTGCTTAGTTGACCGCTTTAAGTTTGGGCCCTGATTTTGTAGTTTTGTCTATTTTTTGTAAATTGTATGGATATTTAATTGTTTTAAGAATTACTCCAATTTTATTAAAAAGGTAAAATTACTTTCCACACCTTGGCACTTCGCTTTTCTGCTTGGTCCCTAACAGTTAACACTAATGACCCTGTGGCCCAACCCCCATAGTGAGGTAACGCAGCACTAGTGACTACTGGTAATTTCCAAACCTTTTAAATAGTTCCACCATGAGGTTGACATTTATGGTTCAGAATGAAATAACGAGACAATGTGTTGAAATTCACTGCAGATATTATGATCCAGAGATGATCAATCCTAATGACACTGGTGATCCCTGGACTTTTCGTGCCACCATGAGGTTTTATCTTTATATAGCCTCACAGCTATTGTATGGATTGTTGTGACATTTGGTGCAGACATTCATGGGCCCCAGAGGATGATGATCCCCTGACATTTTATCAACACCAAATATAAGTTTAAAGTGTTTTTTTTCTCATGTAAGAAAGAAAACAACCTTCTTTTCCAATGTGTTCAACTGTTCCTTTAAACTGATTATGCTTGTTCTACTTGGGTATAAATAGCATCTTTACTTACACTCACTCCTGTGCCCTGATCTGAAGTTTACATTATGTCATGATGACGCTGGCTGAGAGCTGAAGGATGTTGCAAAAGGATGAAATCCAGTGTAAAGGCCTTTTCTCTGCAACCACTACCTCCGTTGAAACACTGGTGTGTGTGTGTGTGTGTGTGTGTGTGTGTGTGTGTGTGTGTGTGTGTGTGTGAGAGTGTGTGTGTGTGTTGGCTCAAACAGCTCGCTGCATCCTAAATTAATCACGCCACTCTATGTGTTCTCTGCTGAGCCAGCTCTAAAGTTGGAGTGAGTGTAAGAACGGAAGAATGCTAAGCAGCTCCTCAGCATCACAAGAGCAGCTCAGCTCAGCTAACAAACCCTCTCTCCTTGTAGTCGCCGTCTTTTTTCACCTCCTCTTTGAGCCAGCCACCTCCTCTCTCCGTCTCCACTTGTCTCGCCTCCTCGTCACACCAACTTTATACATTCCTTCGTCACTCCTCTGTCCTCCTCCTCAAATCCCGCCTGTTGCTCTGTAATATCATCTCAGATCTCCCCTCCAACCCATTATTTTCTATCCTCCACCTCTCCCTCCTATCCCCTTCCTTAGTCCTCCCCCCCTCTGCACCCTCTGAGCACCGCTCTGTTACAGCTCAGCTGGTGACGGCGTGCCAGGAGACTGCTCCTTTTGTGCCCTGCTGAAAAGGACTCATAGTCTGTGTGTGTGTGTGTGTGTGTGT